ACCTGCCCTGGGCGGACTGTATGGAGGAGGGGCAGGTGTGGACAGGACTGAGTAGGAGAGCATCTTCCCTTCCTGTGGTGCCTGTCACAGCCTACCCCAGCACATCCAGTGTACAGTTCTTAGCCACTGTCCCCCCTCCCCCTTGGTGGTGCTCTTTTTAAGGGAGGTGGGGTGGCTGGGGAAAGCCTCAGCTGCTGTTGGAAAAAGCCCATGCAACTAATGGGCATCCCCAGCTGGTGTACTGAAAGCAGGACAGAAACCCTACACCTTTGCTTCCAGGGACATTGATGCGGGTTTGTGCTCCTGGAGTCCCACTCATCTTTATGACGATGTCCATCTGGGATGTCAAGGAGCACTTAGGCACAGAGAGGAGCAGTGTCACAGAGGTCTGGATCAGGACAACTTCTTCCTCTCTCTCTTTCTGTCTTCTGTGTGTGTGTGTGTGTGTGTGTGTGTATGTGCGTGCACACACAAGCCTACCATGTCACGCACAACTTGCAGTTGTTGGTTCTTTCCTTCCACCATGTGCATTCCTGGCATTGAACTCAGATGGTCAGGCTCGTCAGCAAATGCCTTCTGCCATCTCTCGAGGCCCGGGGTAGGTATTCAGAGCAACCAGCGACTCTGCCGGTGGAGCCGGGTTGACAGTACTCGTTCCTGTTGGATCCCCTTTCTTCACTTCTGTTTCAGGCTCTATCCCTTCCAAGCACCAGCTTCTGACCCTCCTGCCTTGCCCAGGCTCACAGGGCTGACTTGGACACAGCTTAGACTCCTTGCCTTTCCTCCCTTTGGACAACACCCATCCAAATGATTAGGTCTGAGCGGACAATGGGTGGTGGGGCAGGGGGATGAGCACACGCCAGAAAGAAATGAATGCCTTTTCTGAGTAGAACCTAAATGATATGGAGCCCACAGGGACGCCACTAACACCTTCCAGTCTTTCTTAGGATGAAGGGGACAGAGCAGCTTTTTAAACTAGGGTTACAAGGACTGCAGAACCCTGGGAGCAAGACTAGGGTTCTGGTAACCACAGGTACTCAGCTGCTGGTCTCGGCCACTTGTCTAGCAAACCATGGGATGTCCAGAAGCTCAGCTGAACACCACAGACAATTGATAAAACTGATGACAGACTTGCCTTTAGTTTGGGAAGCAGAAGCCAGTCAGAGGCGCAAGCCAGAGTAGCTGATACGGTTGTGGACGTCAGATGACACCAATGATCTGAAGCATGCAGGGGTCTGATGGCCTGGCCTGCAGTTTGCATGTGGGACTGAAAAGGAAAGTGATCTCCAGCAATGGTTCAGGAATCCTGTATTGTTCCATCCTTAAGGGTTAGGAGTGGAGGTGAGGTATGAGGTAAGAGCCCCTTCTGGGAGGATTTTGCTCAAATGATGGGAGCAGAGCACTGGGGCCCTCAACCCTGGACTGGTCACAGTGTGTCTAGCACTGTATAAAATGCTCTCCCAGTGCACTCCAGAGAGGTGAAGCAACTCTAAAGGCCTCCAAAGGCAAGAGGCAATTTCTGTGTATAGATCTACACAGAAAAGCTGACTCCAGCTCCAAACCCAGGAGTTCATCTTTAGGTCATTTCACCCTTGGCAGAACACAGGCTAGAGAATTGATCTGGGCTCTTGCTTTCCCGAGCAAGTGAATTGGAAGTTTGCATCTGGTCCTGTGCATTTAATAGGAAAATCAATGATGGGTGGGCCAGGCTCTGTCTTGTCCCTGGAGACACCTCCCAAGTACTTACTCTAGTCCTCTGCGCTCAGGTTTTCTTGCTTACAGAAGTTCAAGGCCTTTGGCTTTAGGTTTGTTTGTTTGTTTTAGGTATATTTATTTATTAATTTATTATTTATTTATTTTGGTTTTTTAAGACAGAGTTTCTCTGTGTAGCTTTGGCTGTCCTGGAACTCACTGTGCAGACCAGGCTGGCCTCAAACTCAGAGATCTGTCTGCCTCTGCCTCCTAATCCGCTGAGATTAGAGATGTGCGCCATCCTCCGCATTTCCCTCCCAGGCTTAAAGGTTTATTTTTAAGTGTGTGTGAATATCATGTGTCTGCTGGTACCCTAAGAGGCCAGAAGGGGGTGCTAGATTCCTTGAAGTTGGAGTCACAGATACTTATGAGCCACCAGACATAGGTGCTGGAAACTGAACTCTGGTCCTCTGGAAGATCAGCAAATGCTCTTAACCTCCGAGCCATCTCTCCAGCCCCTGGAGTTTGATTTGGTTTTGGTTTTTTTAGTAATAGAGCTCCTTCAAACAATCATTCAGACATGTGGGAAGCAGAAAACAACTCAGGATTTCACTAACTCAGATTTATTTCATAACTTCACAGTGATAACATTCAACTTTTAGCCTGTTGTTCAGTGACAATGGTGAGGCCATTCCCAGGAACACAAAGCCACATGAAGTCATAAATAATGGTCAACAATGATAATCACATCACTGTGGTTGGACAGTGTTAAGAAATATATTTCAGAAAGAGAAATCATCACAGATGAAGACCTTTAAAAAAATCCTTTTTTTTTTTTTTTTTTTTACAACTTCTTAGTATTCAATTAAACTAACCCATGACCTGGAAGGATAAGTTAATAGGTTACCATTCCAAAGTCTAGTAACAGTTGCCAACACCTTCTGGAGTACTTTTCACAGACAGGGAAGACAGCTAATGTACAGCGATTTCCACAAAGAGCTAAACGCTTCCTGACTTCAGGAGCGTCATGACTGCAGTGGAAGTCTGTTACATCTTTACCTGTTTCCACACAACTAGAACGGTCAGGAGAGCATGCACTGAACTGACAACAACTAGCACAAAAACACCAGGGACTTTGAGAGGTTTCAAAGCTCCAAACGTCACTTGAATTGCTAAAGAGGTTCTGTGTCATCTGACCATAATGGCAGCACCCCCTTTTTTTATGAAGAAGCTGACGTTCAGAGAAACTAAGCCACTCACTTAGGGTACACAGGGATCTACCACAAGGCTGTACATTAACTGTGCCTGAGCTTTGCCTGGCATTGTAACCAAGTGCTGCCTGTTTCTGAAGTCCTAGTGCACTTGACCTGGCACACACACTCACAAGACGCTACTGCTTTTCAAGTCTACACACAATGACAGGGTGTTTGGAATATGTACACCAATGCCAGCGAGGAGCTTTGTTCCATAGCAAATGGGTCAGTCTGGAAACAGGAGCAAACTGGCTGAGCACTGCTAGGCTGAGACCTGGTCACCAGAACACTTGAGACTACCTGTGTGTGTTTAAGAAGTTTAAAATGCCTAAAAATCAGGTCTCTAGAGAACTAAGAAAACACATTTGAATGACGTATGTAGAGTGGAGGGTGGGTCCCTAAAGTCTTGTTCTGGGCCTCTGTCTGTTAGCATTTGGGCATTGAGACCATTTAACTCAGTCGACCTTTGTTCATTCTCTTTATGAAGCAAATGATAAGCACCACCCCCACACATGCATGCAAGCCTACAAAGAGTAGATTGCTGAATGCATTAAGTGGGATATATGAGTTTCACATTTTTTTTTAAATAAGGTCAGTTCATTCTTTTATGGTGTGAGCAGACATTGGACTGTTTGGTGTGGTTTAATATGTATTTATTTGTGTGTGTGTGTGTGTGTGTGTGTGTGTGTGTGTGTATGTGTGTGTGTGTGATGACATCTTGCAGGAGTTGGTTCTCTCTTTCCACCATGTGGGTTCCAGAAATCAAACCTACCTGGAAGAGGGAGAGAGAGAAGAGGAAAAAAAAAAGACAATTTTTTTGTTGTTGTTGTTAGATAGAGGTTTAGCAAGGAGCCACAGGGAAAGAGTGAAAAAGCCCAAAGTACCAGAGAATGTGTACTCAGGCTTGGGCTAGCAGCCAAAAGAAAAAGCGAAAATTACAACTTATGGTGACTCTGTGGTGACTAAACAGATAACAGGGATTCTGAGACAGAAAAATGCATGATCTCATTAAGGGGATAATTATTCCTCCCATTTCCTTAGCATGGAGTTAGGTGAGTCTACCTTCCTGATGGGCAGTACATTAGCCAAGCGATGGACCTGCCCAACTGGATTAACTCTTGTGTTTTGGTTAGCTTGGAATGTTAAGTCTCCACTTAGGCAAGAGGTAGATTTCATTCTTCTGTTTCCTCCTAAAGAGCCTCAGAAAAGCCCTGATCAAGGCTACTATCAAGTCCCTTCTCTGATGAGGTAACTCTAAAAATCATTATGGGGATGGGCTAAAATTGGGGGACAGAATACAAGCCATTTCACCATGAAAATCTATAGATCTAATTCTAAGGCTATCCATAAAGGGATTAGTGTCTGGCTGAAGTTCCAGTCCCACCTTCAAGTGTAACCTCTATGAAGGTGATGATGAGAAATCAGAGCTGCTTTGTGGCATTCATGAGTCAGAGAACTAGCGAAGCTCTTGCAATGCCCCTAGACTGCCTAGCCACTTTCTTTTCTTTCTTTCTTTCTTTCTTTCTTTCTTTCTTTCTTTTTTTCTTTCTTTCTTTCTTTCTTTCTTTCTTTCTTTCTTGATATTTGTTTACTTATTTATTTATTTATTTTTAATTTTGTGTGTGGTCAGCATGTGCGCGCCACAAACATGTGTGCACTGTTCAAAGAGACCAGAAGAAGTCTTTGGATCCCCTGAAACTGGAGTTATAGATGGTTGTGAACTACCATGTGGGTGCTGGGATCTGAGCTCCTCTGCAAGAATAGCAAGTGTCTTTAACGGCTGAGCATCTCTCCAGCACCTGCCTAGCCATTTCCAATCTCCTGTTCACATCACTACCCCCTCTGAAGGGGCTGGCAAGCTGACTAACCAAGCTGCCTGGCTGACCCTGGTGTGCTTAAAGGAAACTAAAGTAAGGAGTTTTAGGAGCTTAGTCTTGTATTTGTTAACAATATAGTTAGAGTCCACCAAACTTCAGGCTTTTTCTTTCTTTCTTTCTTTCTTTCTTTCTTTCTTTCTTTCTTTCTTT